TGACTTTTACTGTGAGTCACAGCTACTCACCAGGAGAGACATGCTCTACAATCCCCTACTGCGCTCCCCCCAACACTTCCACCCACTCTGCTCCTGACAGTGCTCCAGCCAGCTTGCACGGGGTGGAGCCCCACGCTGCCTGTGCTCACAGGGGAGCAAATTTCCCCTGGTGAACTCCGAAACCATCCTGAGAAGTTCTTATCAAGTTCCTCCCAAGCCCTAAGGGCTCTGGCTGATGTAGCTAATTAACATTTTTGGGATTCCAGTGAAGTAACAGAATAGATATTTTCCTCCAAGGGAGCAAAAAACAAAAACAAAGGCTCTAGGATGTGGTATGATTTTTTTAAAAGACAGTTGTAATGTCAGTAGGAAGAGCACAAAAACACTTAACTCCATATCGCTGCCCCCCAAATTAGAGCGTTTGGAATAACGAAACTGACTGACCAGACCCCTCTGGGTTGTTAGGGAACATCGTACAGTCTTTTTGCCCCTGGCCGGCACCGTGGGTGCATGGAGCCTTGAAGATGCAGGTACTAAATAGATTCCTGTTGAATAGGTCAATGAATGAAACTCTACATTTGAATGAGACCGAGTACTAAGGCCCTCTTTAGTTCTAAGCTTCTTATCTTTAAAAAAAGAATCTCATTTATTCACTCCCTCACTCAGAGAAGGACTGCTGACCACTTGTACCTGCTGTCCTTTGGGGCCAAATTCATGTGATGGCACCGGGCAGGTCTCCAGCAGCACTGGAAATATTCAAGCTCTTGCCCTGGGTGGTATGCCTGTGGCGTTCCCTTTACTATTACATTTTTATAGCTTGTAAGTACAAGTTAGAAAACATTTTGTATGTTTTAGTATACCTAATGAATCCAAAATTACAGTTGTGTTCCAGTGATGAGGAGTGGGGCTGTTAAGAGATATTTACATCCTGCTGAGGATAAGACCATGTCTGAGATGACAGAAATACAGTACACTTGAGATTTGGTTATAAAATTTGATTGCTAAGCATACATATTAAAAAATAAGGGTAACCACTAAAAAAATAGAAACATAACCTCTAGCTTCTAAAAGAGAAAATAAAAAGCAATTCTGAAAAATCAATTTGATAAAAAGCAGAAATAAGAAAAAGGGTAATAAAACAGAAATTACAAGATAAGACTAACTGTATCAGTAATCACACTCAATGTAACTGGACAGAACTGCCTTATCAAAAGATAGATGGTCAGAGTAGGTCTTAGAAAAATAGTGCTATGTGCTGTTTACAAGAGGCATAATTAATATAAAGTTATAATGAAAGCTGAAAATGAAAAGACAGAAAAAGATATACCAGAAAAAATGTTAACCAAAGAAAGCTGATCTGGCAATATTACCAACAAGTAAACAGAACTTAAGGCAAAAGTTTCAAGAGTCACACTCCATGATAAAAGGGACAGTCACCAAGAATATACATAATCAAGAATACAAATTAACCTATGGACTCAAAATATCAGCAAATGTTAACAGATATTGACAAATCTACTGCCATAAAAACTAATAAATCATGCAGTCAAAAATTAAGATAAAGGTGGCTTGACGAGTTAAATTCATAGTTAAATTAATTCATGAATAGAGAATCCTGTATTCAACAGAGATACATATTTTATAAAAGCTTTTTGTGGGATATTAATTTCAAAACCATCTATATGATAGCCACCAAACAAGTTGCAACAAGTATTAAAGAATCAGTAACAGAGGCATCAGAGCAACTCCGTGAAGGAAGGAATGTATGGGTCTTTTCAGCGAGTAGAGCTAAAACAACTGGACATCAGCATGGGGGGGGGTGGGAATGACCCTTGACCGGTATATCACATCACACACAAAAATGAACTTGAGATAGATGACAGATCTACAATGAAAACTTAAAATGTTTCTAGAAGAAAAATTATCTTCTCAACCTGGGAATAGGTAAAGATTCTTAGAACACAGAAAGCAATGACCATAAAAGAAGTGATAAATTAAACTATCAAAATTAAGAATTTTGCTCAAAAGCCAGACATGAAAATGAATAGAACAGGCACAGATTAGAAGAAAATATTCTCAAAATCTGACAATGAACTTGTAATTATATATAAAAAACACCTACAACTCAATAACTTTTAAAAAGTCAACCCAAATGAAAATAGGCAGAAGGTTAACCAAATATTCACAAAAGAAGATAAAAATGGCTAATAAACAAATTAAAAAGTGTTCAACAACATTGGTCATGAAGAACTGTAAATTTAAATAACCATAAAAGAGTATTACTCAGCCACTAGACTAGGTAAAATTAAAAGACTTTACATCAAATACAGCCAAAAATTTGGAGTGTCCAGAACTCTCATATTGTTTGTAGGGCTATAAAATGGTACAACCACTTTGGGAAAAGATCTGGGAGTACATTATCTTATAGAACTAAACACACCACTATTTTGGAGGTTCTAGCAAGACAATTAGGCAACTAAAATAAAAGGTACACAGATTAGAAGGAGCAAGTAATGGCATGATCTTGTATGTAGAAAATCCTAAGGAGTCTACAAAAAACTGTAAGAGCTAGTAAGAGTTCAACAAGGTTATAGAATACAAGATCAATACACAAAAAATTGTAATTCTATACACTAATAACGAACAACCCAAAAAAATGAAGTTAAGAAAGCAATTCCATTTGCCATACCATCAAAAAGAATAAAATATTTCAGGAATAAATTTAACAAAAATATGAAAGACATACACTAGAAACTATCAAACATTGTTGAAAGAAGTTAAATAAAATATAAATAAATAGAAAGACATCTATGTTAATGGATTTAAAGACAAAATTAGCATAGTAATAATCCCAAAATTGATGCACAGATTTACTGCAATTAGTATCAAAATTTCAACTGCTCCCCTCCACTCCAAAATTAACAAACTGGTTCTAAAATTCATATGAAGATGCAAAGGACAAAGACAGTCAAAACAATCTTGAAAAATAAGGAGAAGTTTAGGGGACTCACATTTCAAAGCTATAATAAGCAAGACAGAGCGGCACTGGCATATGACAGACATATCAATGGAATAGATATGTCTGAATTGAGAATCCAGAAATGAACCTTCATAATTATTATGGTCAATTGAATTTTGACAAAGGTTACCAAAACAACAACAGGAAAAGAATATTTTTCAACAAAAGCTGCTAGGACAACTAGATATCTACACGCAAAAGAATAAAGCCCTACCTCACATGAAATACAAAACCCAACCCAAAATAGACCATAGAGCTAAAACTATAAAACTCTTTAGAAGAAAACAAAGGAATCTGAGACCTTAGATTAGGCAACAGATTCTTATATGTGAAATCGAATAATGTTAAATAAAGAAAATTTCCAGAATGAGGCCTGCAGCTTGTTACCTTTCAAATAAAGCTTAAAAATATTCAAAACAAAATATTATGAATGGATGCATACACATGTGGAATAATTATATGAATACCTATCATAATCAACTTCTGAAGAGAGGTTACTTTTAGGGAGGCAAAGGAATAAATAAGGACTTAAACAGTATCTGTAATCTTTTGTTTCTGGAAAAAATCAGACAAATAGGGTATACTGTTAATATCTGACAAAAGTGGATATGGGTATACACATGTACCTTTATGAATATTTGAAATACTTTACAAATTGATGAATTACATTTTTAAAAGGATGAGACTTCCTTATCATGGGCATGTATTGCCAGTAATAACAGGGCAAAAAATAAAGTAAATTAAACAAACAGGTCTAAAAAACTATACTAATTAATCCCAAGAAATATTCTGGAAGTTGCTTTGGGAACAGATACTGTTAATGGATCCTTTGTCACTGCCTTTATTCCAAATGGACTACAGAGTATGTGTGTCCAGAATGACTACGGGAATTTTCCACTTGTTTGTATTTTGCACAGATAGTTGTGGCTTATGTTTATTTTAGTAATTTCTTTCTCTCTCTCTGCTCTTAAGTTTGTTTTCATCAAATTTTCCCAAGCTTAAATCTCTTCCTTTTGTTTTCTTTTTCCTTTCCCAAGATTTGCATTTCCTTTTTCAAGCAACGGTAAAACATATTTTCTTTTCCATTCGCTCATAAATCAAACAGTACATTTCCTTGGTTGGTTTTCACTTTCATCTACAAGTTGGTTGATTTGTTTAGTCCATCTCTGCTGCATCTTCACTGGTCCCAGGTGCAGGACAAGCTCCAGGCGCTAACAAGCTACAGTTTTCACAAGGAGGGGGTCACTGACTGAGGCCCACTACGACGATGTGTATGCAGAAGGGGATTTAACGATTATCCAAGAGGGTACAAGCCCCTTTGATACATGTTTCTCTGAAGGGACCATGGGGAGCTGGAGGGAGGACACACTTCCTCTGTGTTACAGGGCCCCGAAGGCTGCTTGGCTTAAGCCACACAGGACAAGAAAGAGGGCCCTTTTGTCATTTTCTCTTCCCAGCCAACAACAGCAGTCATCCTTTACTGTCTTCCATAGCCCAGCAGCCTTCTGGCACTCGATGCTCTTCCATTTAACTCATAATCCCTATGGGAGAAGCATTATCATCTCCATTTGCACACAGGGCACTGGGTAGAGAAGTGGAGCAACACACGCAAGGTCACACAGCTGGCTAAAGGGAGAGCCAAGGTTCACACCCAGCTGTAGCCCATGACCAAGCCCCGCCCTCTACCTCACGTGATTCTTCCCTTTCTGGTTGTAGCGGGGTATGCGACAGACCAGTCTTTTGGTGGAAGAGTTGTTCTCCCTCACAATCCATCATGCAATTATATTTATACAATTTGATTCCTTGAGTGTGACATTAACAAAAGAAAGCAAGACACACATGCACACACTATGTGTTATGTACAGGCATGTATAGAGGGGCAAGGGCGGCTGTCTGCCGGAGTACCAGAAGGGGCTCCCCAACACTGCTCATATAACATGCGCTCTGGAAGCGCAGCCCTCACTGAGCAACGGAGGCGTACCTGGATAGGATCCTGCGTCAGTCTCATGGGCCCAATGCGTACCTCCGCAGGAGAAACCTGCTAAATAAAGGACAGTACATGAGATGTTTCGAGCCTGAAACTACGAGAATTGACAAATTCTTCCTTACACAGGATATTACACATGCCACTTTGCAGAGGATCCAGTTTATTGATCTGGAGACAGTTTATAAAACGCCATGTACAAACAATCCTGGTTTTATAAAATACATAACATTTATATGCACTAAAAATGTCTAGGAGGTTATATCCCCCAAATGCTAACTTATGGGATTTCAGGTTTATTTTTTCAGTTTAAGTTCATGGACTTTTACAACAAGCATGTACTGTTTTACGGAAGACAGCAACTCAGCTTAGTAATGACTTACAGAGCACCTACCACGTGCTGGGAGCCATGCTAGGCTGTTATTCTTGAAATTTCAAGACACTAAAAATCCCTCTCAAATGTGGGAGATAAAGCATTTCTGTGGCTTAAGAGGTGTTCCTATATTTAGATCTTATTTTTCTTATCTTAATGTTTTAGTATGGGGAATACATACCTTACTCTTACTCATGCTTACCAAGGATAAATTATTCATTTCCATTGTATCTCCTCAAATAAATACCGCACCATGACCACTAGAGACTAAATCGTGCCCACGACTCCAGGAATGAGCTAAGATGCTCGCTGGCCAGCACCTGCCAACTCCCTTTGGCTGCAAGCACAAAGCCAGCGTGTGCATTTTAATCACCGTACTTGGACATCTAGAAATGACTTTTCTTTCAATAACTGGATTGAAGGCCTTGGCCTCACCTCCATGGATCCAGTTTTGTTTTTCCCTAAGAGGCTGCAGTCATTTTGCCACAACTTGGAAGGTTATCCTGCATTCAACGCATGTCGCTGGCCCGTCAGCCAGACGGGACGCCTTCAGCAATTCACAGGACCACAAACACCGCAGTGGCCCAAGGGCCAGAAGAGGCTCCATCAGTTAAAAACGCAAACAGGAAAATCAGCACTTTCTTTATACTTTGGAAGACTAAAAATTTTACCTTTCTCTTTTCTTTCCCTTTGCCCATGCTTAACTCCTGATGTTGTGAATTTTCTCTAACACATCACCACAAGTTGCTGGCATTCTTTTCATTCTTTTCCTCTGTAAGGTTTGATAAGCCCCACTGCACCCCAGCATCATCTGTGAAGAAATGACACTGGGGACTTTGGCCTCTCATCAAATAGGCCAGCAGAAAACTCGGAGAACCCTCTGATGCCATGCATCCGAGGCTCTGGGCCTCCGTGAGGGGTTCACAGGTCGGCCACGCTGCGCTCTCCTGCTCTGCTTGGCAAGGGGGTCTTCCTGCGACAGTGGGTCCTTTCAGCAGGCCTGGTGCAACTAAACCCAGCTGTGGGCCTTGAGTCCCTAAGCCCTTGGACCAGTGACAAGTTCCTACAATGTTTCCCTGCTGTCTTTAGGTAAAAGTGACAGGCTCCAGTTGAGTGCCTGGCTCTCAGGCTTCTTCTCTCTGAGCAAAGCAATGTCCTGCAGGGGGTTTGTGCTGATGCCAGCACCAGTGTGCGTGTGCAGCCCCGGGAGCCATCCCACTGGGAGAGGACTGTCGCCAGGCCTGCTGCGTCACTGCACCTCTGGCCCCCTCCCAGCTCCACCCTAAGCGTGGTTTTTATTGTCAGAAAGAGACACTCTCCTTCAAAAGCAGTGCAACTGCCAGAATTTTATTCAACTAAAAAGCTATTGATTAATAAGTGAAACCAATTTGATGCAGTAAGGTAAATCTGATCAATAATCTGAGGTATCTTTTTCATTTCCCTGTGCTCTCTCTTGGGTTCACTGCATCCCCAACACAAAACCCCTCCAACAAGACCACTCGTTAGTGGCTTCTCCAGCAAAACTGGCACCCATGGGAATCATCCAGGGGAAGAAAATAAACAAAAAGAAAAATCAGTAAGAGCTTAAAAGGAATAAAGAAGTAACTCACTTTGGAAGGCCAAGACTAGGACAAAGACCCCTGCTAGAAGGGCCCAGGCTGTCCAAAAAATAGCCCTAATTCACGCCTGACCAAGGCAGTCCTGTACGCTTTGTAGGACATCAGTATGTGGACGGGCTGTCTTAAACTCTGCCAGCAGGACACCTCATGACACTGGGAGGCCCTCCGAAGCCCCCTTCTGTCCCAAGCATTGTGCTGGGCACTTTCACATGAGTGACCTTAGGGGAAACAGGCAATGGCCACTGAGGGACAACGTGGAATTTGAAAGGCAACACTCAGTGTAGAAGATTGTTTTCCTGCCAGAAGACAGGAAGGACCCACTTTCTCCACAGCCACCGGAGTTCCCTGCCTGGCGGAGCCCAGGAGAGGAACCTCGAGGCTGGTGGACCCTCTCTAAGACTCCTGCCCCTCCCCCTCTACGGGTCTCCTCCCAGCACCACCTCACACCTTCACTGCCAGCCCGGGCCTCGGTTTACACCAGCTCCTCTAGTCTGACCCACGTTCTGCTTTGTGTCTCTTGGCTTGCCTTTTCCTTCTTAGTCTGTGCTCCCAGTCATCTGACCTTGGCTTCTGTGTCCAAGAAAGGACAATTATCCCTGAAACCCTGGAAGCTCTCCTCATTGGCTAGGAGGGCTGGTGCAAGGCAGTGACCAGCAAAGGAAATTCTGTAGCAGGTACATTCACAGACAGCAGTTGTCAGAGCAGTTTCAGACACAGGCGTCTTATTGCCTGCATTTCACCAATTTGTAAGAGCCAATTATGAAGAGAAACAGGAGACCATTTACTGATGTCTGTGTGGCCAAGCCAAGAGTCGCTACTTCAAAGAGTGAACTTTGAGCAACTGCAGATGCACAGATCCTCAATTAGTAGATTAGCCCTGATTCCAGGAAGTGAGCAAGTGGGTCAAGAACACAGAAGCAAGAAGGGGGTGGGGCACAGGTAGTACAATTCCAGATCTGAGAGGAGCGGGGGATGGGACAACCGTGTGAAAAGAGACGGGCTTCCTAGACACTCTGACCACATGGCTTGTCCCAGCAGCCGAATGAGGAAGGACTGCTGGCCGACAGTGCAGTGCTAACAGTCCAACAGTCAGAGTGTGTCAGATATTTGTGCATCCATGGTAACACACACACATACACATATACATGCAACAGGGCCACCAATTCACATCTGGGCTCTTTAGGGGGAGAAAAGAGTCCTATTTTGTAGTATTTGCTAATTCTATGGTATAAATACTTTCACTTTAGCCGATCTCAAGCTGGCAACATAGGTCCGTAAGTGTGCAATAGGGAATACAGGTTTTCATGCAGAGGGTCTATGAGTGGCAAACTTCTTCCATCTTTGTTGATCTGCAGATGTCTATTGCTTGCTTTCGTTTGATAATTTAGCAAGATACAGAACTCTGGTTGATACACATTTTCACTTAGAAGTTGAGAGAAAGAAGATAATAATTCCGGTTTTTGAAAGTGGGAGGATTCAGGGAGGCTTTGTGCAAACAAGCAGGTCATGAAGACTCGGAAGATGCAGACACTGGGCTGGGGGAGGCAACGTCAGACTTCAGGAACAACATGAGCAAAGGTGCAGAGGGAAGAGTGTGGAGGGAAGAGCTCGCAGGCGCAATGGGGGGAGGGGAACAAGATTGGGGGAGCTGGATTAACGAACATGAGAGTAAGGCTGGGAGGGCTGGGGTCAGCTCCATGGAGGAGATCGGAAGGGACCTCCTTTTTATTCCGTAGCTCCAACCACAACGCTGGGTTTTGAGCAGAGGATTAACAGGATTTATGACTGTGGGGAAATCAAACACTTGGTTTGCCTGCTTTTTGAGTAGACAGTAACAGATTTAGCAAAAACAAAACAAAGACACTGCTGTGAGTGGGAACTACAGCAGTGAAAGCATGTCGGGAAAATATATCTCAATGATGAAGAAAAAGATTACCTAAAACCCACAGAGCTTGGCCTCCTTTCAATGGAGAAGAAGTGGCAAGATGAAAACCAGCTGATGCAGGGGAGGCGGCTGAAAGAGACAAAATCCCAGGAGGAGTCAGGTGTGCGTTCAGGTTGGCTAGCTCACCTGTCACGGCCCGCATTCTCTGGTGGGGAGCACCACAGCCCTAATACCTTCCGCTCCAGGAAATTTGTTACATGACTTGGGCTGGACTTTAGAGCTTCCCTCGAACAACGATGAAGTGAGATTTCAGGAAGAAAAGTGGTAAGCTGGTAAGCCCTTCCTACCCCATCTGCTCAGCACAACTCGCTCATATGCCCCCACTCTCTGAAGGCTGCGTGAGCCCCGAGGCCCCCGCAGAACCTGCGCCTGTCCTCTGCACGCCTCCTGCACTTCACAGTGATGGCTTTGTTACCCATTCAAATAGCTTTCTCCTTGGCAAGACTGTAAGTTTCTTGAGGACACAGACTCCTTTTCACAATCTTATCCCCAGCATCTAGAAGATGCTAAAAAAAAAAAACAACTATGCTGGTGTTCCACAAATAAATGGAATTAAATTAAACTGCCTAAGAGTACACAGATTTTACGTAACAGAGACATGATGGAGCCCTCGTTTCTCCTGGCGCCCAGGGCACTGCTCTTCCATCCTGCTCCAAAACTTATAGAATTCAGACTGCACTGCCCACCTTTCTGTGCTAGGGTTCTGGACTCCATTCTGATTTTGCAAAACAGATGATCAGGTACGGCAATCTCTGCTCATGTCCTGGTAGTCAGTCTGTCCCACTGCTAACAGGGTGACCACAGGACCAAGAAGGAAAGGGAGGGTATGCACGTGTGCTTTGTGGGGGTGGGTGGGGGGAATTGTTCCATAATTTCCACCTTCCAACAATGAGCTCAAAGCCTGGATCTCCCCCACTTCAACCACTTCTCCTCTGGAAGCCCCCAACCTGCCGTACTGAATGCTCACACACAGGTGCACGCACACAGAGCTCAGGCAAACCCAACTGCACGACAGGGGGACTCCACCGTAAAGTCCGTTTTTCACTCACAGACGGGGCCAGCTGTGGGCTCAGGAATAGGCCTTTTAATGCCCTTCATCAACTCTGCTTGCTGCCTTGTT